AAGACATTAGATCTTGTCGAGAAATTGCTTTTGCTTTGGATAACTGAAAAACAGTGTGCCTGCGACAGCGTATCGGAAGAAATTATTTGCAAGAAAGTTAAAAGGATACATGCTGATCTCATGAAAAATCAAGCAGAAACTAGTGAGGAAAGCCAGGTGTTTAAAGCCAGCCATTTTTTTACATGAGAACGGATTAATCATTTTTACATTACTTCTTATGGAAAAGGTTGATTTGGTATACGTCCTATTCGGTATAAGTCCAAACACCAGGAACGGATTAAGGTCGTATACCGAGGTTCCACTGTATTACAAACTAAACATGCACACCACTAATAATAAATGGCCATAAAACTGCTAATGGTTCTGTATTCTTTGCCTATGGAGGCAATAATGTATTTGCAACCAAACAGTTTAATGCTGTTGTAATTTGTTTTTTTAAAAATACTTGCATGTAAGTAATGCAAATAATTTAAATTTTTTATTCTATTAATAGAAAATTCTTTTAACTCTACATGACTACATGAAGTCAGTTGAATTGATATACAACTGATTATCACAAGCAGTTTAAGCGCAACTTCAAAATGACATATTAGGGCAAAATAGTGTTATTTTGTGTAAAGGACACAAATGAAACCTTCACTTGTAATAGTAAGTTAAAATCATAAATATATTTTAAACAGCAATGATATTTTAATGATTAAAATTATGTATTTACAGTTAAAAACATAAAAAAATATATATGTAGCAACGAAATTTAAAGATTCCAGATGTAATGGTATGTCACAACTTATTATGATAAAACACTTATAATGTAAGAAATTTATAATATGTNACTAAAAAAATATATATGTAGCAACGAAATTTAAAGATTCCAGATGTAATGGTATGTCACAACTTATTATGATAAAACACTTATAATGTAAGAAATTTATAATATGTTTTATTGTGTAGCCAACTTGCCCGAAACGTGTATCGGACAATAGAAGATCAATAACAATGACGTAAAATGCCTTATGTCTATTTATGCACCTAGTGGTGAAGAAAAACAAAAAAAGGAAGACATGGTCTCAGAAATACATAATAAATATTGTTTCATTGCTGGTTTGATATTTAATCTTAATACAGTAAAATGTTGGCATAATGAATTCCAGTTTAATGAAACTGGTAGAACAAGTTTATCTTGAATTCCCCACCAATTTCCTATTCAGTTCAATACAAAAATATTTCAGTTTAAATGAATATCACTGTAATGAAATTTCAGTTTAAAGTAATAAAAGTTTTGTCCATTATATAAGAAAAGTTTCATTATAATGAAATCTATAAATGCATGTCATTAATTTTTAATAAATGACGAATATTATGTTTGAGTCAAACGGTATGACAACACTAATTTTAATCCTGTCACAGTTTCTTTTCGATGCTATTACTCTTAGTTATTTCTTCTAAGCATGAGAAAAAAAATGAAGAAAAACAAAGAAATGAAAGCAGTTTTCTTTGGAAGAGAAGAAAAAATATTTTAGATAATGTGCAGAAAGCAATTAAAAGAAATGATGCTGCCAAGAGGTATAGAACCTCTTGCAACTGCAAACTGTTTTTCTAAAGCAGTTATTATGGCAACAGCCAGCAAAGAAACTGAAGATGAAGATTACAATACAGATATTGTAAACCACTGGAAACATTTATGCCAAAAGTTAAATATACCAAAAGAAGCAAAGTTTTATGATTTTGTTGAAGTAGAAAAAGTTGCCATTTATATTGAAGTGAATTAAGACACTATGGCAGAAATACTGTTAGAACATGATTCTAACAACAATTATGATGAGAAGAGAAAGACAAATTTATAGATGACTAAAATTATGATTTTGGATGCAGCTAACTTCTGAATGTTTAAAATTTTTAAATTTTCAAAGATTTTATGAAATCTATTTGCAATTAAACAGCCTATAAATACTGGTTTTAGATCAGTACTTCTCAACTCAAAATAATCAAAATTAGTATAATTTGGTAAGTTACTAAAACCATTAAGAAATGTTTATATATAAAGGTGTTACTCAAAATAAATTAACTTAGTAATAAAATAAAAAATACAATTCATTACAATAATTTAACATAGAACAAGCAACTATTATTGTGACATTAAAAATTGCAGCTGGCATTGTGATCATCATATTTTTAACTTATTAAATATAAAATGTAAGCTATCCACCTCAAATTAGCAGTGGCTTGCCCCTGTACATGATATTTTTCCTTTAACAATAGAGTTGTGCCAGTCCCTTAACTCATTTCGAGGAAAACATTTGAATTGAAATAGCATCACTTCCTGCTTGCATTGGAAGTTCACATATAGTTAATTGGGACCTCCTGTCCATAAGATTTTCATATCAGTCTCATCTTTCATCTATCTAACTCCATTCTCAAGATTAAGGAAAGACAGATGACAGTGGGAATTTACAGGTCTACAATTTTTCAAATTGTAGCCCAATAATAAATTCTATGTTAAATAACTTATTTAAACTACTTTCTTTTATTACTCTAGCTATTTCAGCAGAAAAACAAATCTGAAGCATTATAATTTACAGATTCAAGCATTATTAAAATTTGGATAAAATTCAAGAACTTTCAGAAAAATTTTCATTAATATGTTGAACAAAAAAATGCATGTTTTATGTTAGATTATTCTGATTAAACATTATTAAAATTTTTTTCAGATTAAGGATGATAATATATAAAATTCTAAGAAAAAACAGCACCAAATATAGTTATGTTGTGTACCTTAAATTTTCTTCATTTTTTCCAAAATAACTAGAATCTAAATTTTGTCTTAAATATTTCAAAAAATTGTCAATATTTATAATGTATCTATCTGTTGTTTATTTAAACAAAAAACTAATATGACCGTGACTAAAAATCTAGTAATACCCTTTTTTAATCTAGAAAACTCATTCTATTTATGGCAGTAAATTAATACAGAATCTATGTTTTTCCCAGCATAATTAATTATATTACCATTAAACTGTACATAAATCAAATGTATTTGTAGTTATGATATTTTTAGAATAAATGCAGGTTATATCTGTTTCATGTAAGGTTTAAAAGCAAAAATGAACTCATTTTAACTATCCCTAACAAAAAAAAAATTAAAAAAAATTGCATGTCAGATTAAAAACTTACTTCTGTAGCCTCAGTTGTAGATTCAGTATCTTCCTCCTCATCTTCTTCCTCCTCCTCTTCATCTTCATCTTTTTTAGCTTCTGCTTCTGTTTTCTTCCTTTCTTCTTCATCCTGCTCATCTTTCATTTTACGTTCAGCATCTTTTGTAGAGCCCCATGTTTCTTCTCCTACTTTCTGAGCAAAATCTTCATCATCCGTAATTAATATGTTATCAAATATTGTACCAGATTTAACCTGAACAGAAATAAATTTTAATTATTAAATTATAATAGCTACATCAGAATTAATTTTAAATTTTAAAATAAGACTTTACCTGCCATAGATCAAAACCAAATGCTCCAATATCAGTATACCTGTAGATAAATGGATCAGGTACATATTCTGGATTATCAATTTCTGGATGAATCCATGGTCCTTTGTAATTAGGATTATCAATTTGTTTAGGTTTCCATTCTCCTTTATATTCGGGATTATTTATTTGTGGTGGTTCCCATTCACCATCCATTTCATCATCCCAATCTTCAGGTTTTGTGGCATCTGGATCTGGTATGTATTCAGGTTGATCCCAGTCCTAAAAAATACACATATATAATTTATTTGAAGTGTTTTCTTGAAAAAAATGAATTTACAGCAACTGATTCAGTAACAAATTCTTTGTACAATAATATGTTTAAACAAAAACATTTTATAATATTTAAACCATTCAAAATGGAATTAAACCAGTTAAAAATTGTACAATTACATTGTCAATTAAATTACATCTCATGACTCAGAATCATAGATCTAAATATCACCTTTTATAAATGCTTTTAATGCTCATTTGCATTTTTGAAACTTAAATGCTGTGCTACTTAAATATTTCAAAATTTGGATAAAAACAAAAAGTTCAGATTAACAGTAAAAATTTAAAAATTTCATTCTGTAATTATAAAACATCAAATGAATCCTGTCATATCAAACAATTGATTTATTAAGTAATGATTCAACATTAAACAACTGTAAACAAATTTATCTTGCAGTAGCTTGAAATATGTACTCATCCATTTAATAAATGGCTTTTCATTCATCAACTAAAAATTAATTTAATAAAACAGTTTCAGAATTTATTTTGTTAGATTAAATGTTGCTGAAAAATTGACAATTAAGTAGTATTGATAAATATTAAGATTCTGAGAACGTATATTTATTATTGTATATTATTAAAATTAAAATAGAAAACTTGATATCCACTAATCATTTATTATTATTTTGTCAGAATGTCAAGCATTTTTAAATATTGACAGTTCCGAAAGATTTTTTTCTTTTCTGTCTTCACTTTTCAATTACAGCAGAGTCTCGAAAATTCGGCCTAATGTGGGCCGAAGGGTGGCCAAGTTTGTGAAAATGCCAGGTTATCAGGAATGGGGTTAAAAAAAATAAGTATGAGTGTTTCCTCAGAAAATACTGTACTGTACTTGTATGTATTGTTTACTTGAGAATACAACAGAGAATAAACTGCTCAAATACCCTTAAACAAAGGAAAAGTGCATCCTTTATAAAGGCATAGAGCCTTTACTACATGAAAATGAAAATTAATGAATACACTGTGCACAGTAATTTACCTGATAAGACAGATCTCAGAAAAATACTTTATGAGGCATAAAGCTGTCTATAATGAAAATTAATTAACTAAGGATTTTTTTGCCCTGCCAGAGTGTGGCTGAGTTATCCAGACTGCCGGGTTATCGAGTGCTGAGTTTGACTCTCTACTGTACTACATATTTTATTACATTTGTTTATTACTGCTCTAAACTTATTAATGTACAAATTCAAAATATTTGATATTTTTGAATCAATTGTGTACATAATTATGGTGTTTCAGAAATATTGGTATAATTTTTATGATTGTCATTTAAGTTTGTATTATGTAACGTGCTTTGATATGTTAAAAATTTACTTTAAAATGATAAAAAAAATTTAAAAAGAAAAACTTACATCTGGTTTCTTGTCTTCGGGATCATCAATTTTGGCTCTATCATCCCAATCCTCAGGCTTTTTAGCTTCAGGATCCTTGATTTTTTTGGGAGGCAAGAAATTCCAATCCTTTTCCAATTCACCACTTTCTACCTTTTCATTGTCAATTTTGACAATGTANAAATTATTCGATAAATGTCTTTATAAAAGTAATGTGTTAAATCATCAATTATTAATTTATAATATATACTCTACCATGCATATAAAATATACATGGTAGAGCATTTATTATAAATTAATAATTGATAATAAATGCTCTACCATGCATATAAAATATACATGGTAGAGGTTAAATTATCAATTATTAATTTATAATATATACTCTACCATGCATATAAAATATACATGTAAAAACATAAAAATCATTTGCTTCGTAACATACACTTTTCACGGAATTTTTTTACTATAACTGTTTATACCTGAGAAGTTTTTATCTGTAATTTTTTTTAAAAAATACGTAATTTTTAAACATTCCTATACAAATTTATTAAGTTTTCTTAAATTTTTGTTCGGTTTTCTACTATATGCGATAAGTAATTTGTTGGGTTACAATTGAAAATGTGTCACTGCTTGGAGATCTCTTGCTGTTATTTTTTTGATTCTGCATTATTGACCAACATTTAATTTGTGGTCATTAGTACTTGTTAATTTATATTATGCCAAGAATTCCACACGAACATTGATTTTAAAGTGAATTTCGAATTAGAGAAAAGTATTAAATTTCTGAACAGCATTTTTTGAATTAATGCAACAAACATAAATAATAATTTTCATACATACTTTTGTACTAATTAATTATTAATTATTAATGTATATTATAAAGGTAAGTGTACAATGTGAGTGCCTCTAAAACTCAAAAACGATTCCCGGTACGATCAAGAGTGTTATATGGTGTAATAGCCCTCTATCCTCCATCCATGAAGAAAGTTCCTGTTTTTACTGAAAGGTCGTGCTGTTGAAGATATAAGGGCTGGAAGTTTCGCCCTCTAGAAATTTATAAAACATTCCAGAGTGTTCCAGAGCATTCCACAACATTCCAGAATGTTCTGGGATGTTTTGGATCGTTTGGGAACATTCTGGACGTTCCAGAACACTCTTGAATGTTGTGGAATGTTCTGGAACATTGTGAACCATTCGAATCCTTTTTTGTATAGGTGAGACTACCCATTGGTGCGGGTATATAAAGCAAGCTCCGTCGTGGGTTTGAACGTCAGTTTCTTATCAGTGACAAAGAAAAGAACGGAAAAAGAAGTGAAAATTCAAAAGTAGTGCATTGAGTGAATTAAAACAAACAGTGAAGTGTGAGTAGTCAAAGTGATGCAGTGACTGAATATAAATCGAAAATAAAGTGTAAAAACAGTGTAGAGTGTACTTAGTGTATTTATTAATGAAAAGTTGGTTTGATTTATATTTTATATAATGCCCAAACATAAAAAAGGAGCACTTATCAGTTCTGAATTTTGTTTTGAATATTAAAGTTGATATTGTCGACAATATTATTTTTAGTTGCCAAAATTGCCCTTTGAAATAGCCTATCCGAATAATAATAAGAAGAGCAGAGCGCAAACGGTTAGGAGTTGAACGTTGAAATTTGGTACACAGTTAGGGTGTGTAATGAAAACGTACACTAATAAGGGATTTTTTGAAATTCCCCCGTGGGAAAGAGAGACAGGATTAAGGCTTCCCATGAAGAACTCAGCTTTAATTATATTATTTATATGCGGATTTTTGCGTTTTTCATTACTGTTTAATAGGGTAAGTCACAAGAATGTACACTAAAAAGAGATTTTTCAAAATTCCCCCTGTGGGGAGAGGTTGTTAACAATAAAAGTGTTAACAATGGAAGTGGCAAAGTAACAATTGAAGTGCTAAGAGAAAGCGGCGTGCAATATTTACAGGCGCAGATGCTGTTTTTTTGTGTTTTTTGCAGGAAATCGAACATATTTTTAGACCCATGTAAAAATTTTCTCATTAGTCTGGAAATGGGGGACTAATTCCTGCATTCTGTGAAAACAGGTAAGACTGGTTTTAATGTAATCTCAATGTTAATCTTAAATGTTTTCGAATATTCGAAAATATTTTGGAATAGACGAGGACCGTTATGTATGAGTAGTGGGGATGGCTTTTGGATACGTCTGAGCACATGCTTCAGTTGATTTTTCATAAGTAAAAGTGTACGAATAACAGAAAAAAGTAAAAAGTGAACAGTAAAGTGTAAAAAGTAAAAATATCAAAAACAATACTAAAGCATAAGAAAAAATGTTTACGGTCTCGAATCATATTTCAAAGGCAAAAAATCTCACAAAAAATGTAACCACAGAAGAAAGAGAAGTACAGTACATCTAACATTGCTACAAGAAAATTATCAACGAAACAGAAATAATCGGACAGAAATGCAACTTAAAAATTATAGGGAAACACACTGAAAGAGAAAAAGATTATGTAGAGGAAAAGAAAAAATATTTTATATATTAAAAAATGTTGTTACAAATAAATGTACGAACGAATAAAAACCCAGCGAAGCGAGTACTTGCAGCTAGTATACAATAAAATTAATTTAAATTATATTATTAATTATGTTGAAAGTTTGAAGATGGTGGTTAAAATTTGCTTAGAAAGAGTTCTTTTGATACATCGACGTTAATTCAACGCTTATTTTATTTTTATAGGTTGACCGAGGAGTAAGTATAAATTTAATATTTGCACTACCACCACATACAAACACCATTCACGTGCGATGTGTAGTTTTGGCGAAAAAGTAAAATATAGGGACATATATGTCCATTTTTATATATATATATAGATATAGATATAGATTTATATGCTAGAAAAAAATGATATTTTAATTGAGTGATTGTATACAAAATGTGAAAAATGATGTGCATGGTCATCAAATCTTCGAACACATGGCTAAAACATTTACTTCGTACACAATTCAAAAAATTTTGAGTAAAAAAACACTAGTTACTAACCTTCAAAGTAGGTGAGAAAATCGAGAAACACACAGACATAAACAGTAGCATCCGTACATATAGAGAATATCCACACGTTTCTTGCAATTTTTGAAGATGCAGAATCTCCCGAAACCAAATACGTAAAAGTCTTAAGAGAGTTACTTGTTAATCGATATAGTACTTTCCCTTTGTTAAACCTAACACTCTGGTAAAAGTTTGTAATTTTTTATAAGAATATTATAAATAGTTTAATCGTTTATAATCATGAGTATTGCTTAAAAAATACCAGTATATTATTTCATTCTGACCATTTCAGTCTTTAGTTATAAGAGTAACGTTTACTCTATTAAATATTTCTAAATGTTGGAGTCTGTAAGTAAATTAAGAAAGAAATTGTAAGAAAAAACTATATTTAGATAAACTAAATGTTTAAGTACATGAACAGTGTTTTTCTTTCTGTTCTTTTAAATTATTCGATAAATGTCTTTATAAAAGTAATGTGTTAAATCATCAATTATTAATTTATAATATATACTCTACCATGCATATAAAATATACATGTAAAAACATAAAAATCATTTGCTTNTTTGAAGTAATCTTACAATCAATAACAACGGTTATTTTTACATTATTTTTGTAATGATTGAAAATTTTTATTAAGTTTTAGTTTCGAAATTTAAATTTTGATAATACTATAAATATAATAAGTGTAGTAAATGTTAAAAATAATGTAGAAATTAAACGTATTTGTAAGCTTTATTATACTAACATTTAAACTATATATTATTACATTGTTTAATAGGGACTCAGATACCACAAACATCCTGAAAGTCATATGTTGTCAATCGTCAATGTTATTAGATATTTTTAACCTATATCGAATCATCTATAACTTTTAATGAACTATAAACTTGTTTTTTCCTCTGTAAAAATTCTCATCGCTTTATTCCTTTTTTTAATTAAAGACTATATTATTATTTTTATGTAAACCTTTCAATTGTTGCTGTAATTTTTTCACGATCAGAATCAAGGACAGTGTATTCTACTTTACCTCTAAATTAAAAAAAAATTATTCTTAATTCAATACTAATTCTTAAATATGATTTCGTGTATATTTCTTGTTATAATACAGCATAATTTTATCGAATATTTCAGATTATGAAAGTAAGTATAAAATACACCTTTTATTTGTTAATGTGTTTGTGTATTACAAATTTAAAATTTATAAACGATTTCTTATTTAATGCAATAGTACACAAAATCACTCCATTATTCATAATGTTTTCTGCGAAGTAAATATGTGTGAGATAAACCGCCGGTCAGGGATCACTCTCCCACTGACCACTTACTCGGCAACAAGTTGATAAAACCCGATCTCGGCGTTGTCGGATGTCTAGGAGGGCAGTTCGAGTGGGGAGGGAGGTGAGTAAGTTGATAGGCGTCCTTGAATGACAGGAAACAGGTTTAAAACTAAACAAGCATTTATTATATACTCAACTAAGCACTACAAGAAGTTAAAAGCGGTTATCTCTACTATTTACATAAATTCGAGCACGAATTTTCGAGTTCGAGAGAGAGCGCTTACCAATCCTATATACCTCAAAATACCTGTCTGTGGCAGGGCGAATTGGCGAACGTTCAGGGTGTGGTGTCTTCCATGTCATCCATTCGAGGTCCTCTCTCTATAGCTGGATCGGGTCCGCTGAATGGAGGCTCGAGAGTTTCGGTGACACTATTACTAAGTATAACTTCCTATGACGAATCGCCCTGAGGTTACGGAGATTCGAGCTTTTATACTTTTTCGTGCGAGAGCTGACACGTCATCGATTCTTGTTGACGATGACGGTGCATTTTTCACACCTAGCTGTAAACTTCCTCAGCGAGTTGTGATACAATCGGTGTAATCCGATCTAGTACAAAATCTTCGGGTTTTTTCCGAAATCAATTAACAAGAAAATTTAACTTTTTAAAAGACCCGCAAAAATCCGCGGGCTCACATATATTTAGATTATATTGTGCAAGTGTCATTTCTTTTACTTCTATATCATTAGTGTATTTTCAAATTTTATACGAGAATGTCACGAATCAAGTACTGTCGACCCCACTATAACACAGTAGATACGTTCCGGTTTTTATGAATCCATTTTCTACGAGTACTTAAATACATGAGCCAATCACAGCCCGGCACGTATGCAGTTTACGGACTATGGCTGTTTGAAAGGTTTTCTTCTATAAAATTAATCGATTCTAGACTAATTCGACTCAACATTTCCAAAATACGTATAGTTTTTTTGGGGGAATAATCTATATAAACTATGCCATAAACAATAAATTGTAGGATTACTTACCGAGTGTGCACCATTCAACGTCGCCATTGCTTAAGCTTGTTTTGGTCGTGGAGCTTGTCATCGATTGGCGCTCCCGTGCTTCCTGATAAATTATTTCTTTTGCGAAAAGTTTGCTGAACTTTAGAGACATCATTAATATAAATATAATTTTTATGGACTTTAAATAATAAATGGTTTTTAGTAGATCCGCTGCTCGTTTAAACTCAACGGTTTGTACAATATACGCTATTGGTCCAGATTCGACCAATCCTATCTTGACACGAGTCGGCGATGACGTTTTACCGAATTATACGAGTTTTTCTAGCGTGTTTTTACAAATACGGTAACAATTTTTTGCCGTCATATAGGAATCCGAACTATATGAACTCGTTTTATTGGGGGGTCTACTGTAGTACAAAACTTTATCCTTAAATTTTTAAATTGGAAAAGTGTATATTTACGTCTTCTCATTTAAACCCATCATTTTAGTAAACAATATAAAATAAATATTAAAAATCATGACAAAGTTACGGCTAATACATATATGATATCTAAATTAGATGTTATCAATGCAAGAATTAGCATTTAGAGGGCATAAGAAATCTATTGAATCTAATATAACAGAAATGAATATATTGAAATTGCTAATTTATTAAGTGCGTTGGATTATTTATTAAAAATACATTTAGAGAAAGAGACGGTTTTTACTGGCTTATCGAACAAACGAATACGAACAGACCCTAGATCACCACTGATTTATTTTCTCTGGAATTCGGCTTCTTACAGAAATCCAGCTTCCTTATCAAATGTCACCGCACGCTACTGTATTTTAACAATATTTTTCACGTATCAT